CTTAGAGCCCATACTTTCCATACGGGGTCTATATTATGTAAAAGTGATTCTCGACGGCTCTCTGTATTGTCCTGAAGAGTACTCCACATATCAATGCCATCAATAGGTCCCAAGTCTTTCAAGTGGCCGCCGATTGCGCTATAAATAGTGGGCAACCAGTCCTGGATATGCATCAAATGGTTGCTCTCGTATTGTCTTTTCAATAGTGGACTCCAAATGAAAGAAAATCCTCGAATCCCGCCCTCAAAGAGTGTGTACTTTGAGCCTAAACTTGAAAATTACAACAATTCATAACTTAATGAATTTGCTTTACGACAATGTATTATGACAATTAGTAAAATAATTAGGTATTTATTAAATTAATGCCCACCTCTTAGCGGCCAATTAGAGCCGATGCTATTGTCGATACTCCAGCCGCCGGTCCCTCCAGTGGCGCCCCCGTTGTCCGTCGAGAAGATAAATATTGTATTGTTTAAGGCGTCAGTCCTATGAAGTGCCGCAAAGATATGGCCCACAGAATCATCCAATGCTGAGACCATTGCGCAGAATATTCTTCTCCTCTCATTCTTCACGCCATGAAATCGTTTGACGTATTTGTGCGGCGCTTGAAGTGAATGCTTCTTCAGTCCCGCGTGAACTGCATTGTGGGCTAAGTATAGGAAGAATGGCTTTTCCGATGTTTGCGAGTTTCTTATAATTATATCAATGGATTTATTGGTCAAAATGTCTGTTAAATACTCGTCTTTATAGACTGGAAGCATAGCGTGTCTCTCGTTGTGCCGGAGATCAAAGCCATTGTGTGATGACTTGCGGTCGTAATAGTCTGTATGTCCGGACCAGAAGCCAAAGTGAGAGTCAAAGCCCCGGTTTGTGGGCAAATAGTCCTTCTTAAAGAAGCCTAAGTGCCATTTGCCCACAATATGTGTTTCATACCCCAATGGTTTTAAATATTGTGGTAATATTTTAAATTTAAGGGGTAAACCCCAGGGCTGGGCGTTATGGATGACACTGTGCTGAAAGCCGGTGTGAATTGGATGGTAACCCGTCATCAGAGCACTTCTCGATGGACTACAAAGTGGTGATACATAATAGTTGTTCAAAATAATGCCATTACTCGCCAATAAATCTATGTTTGGTGTCTGAATCTGATTGGATCCGTGAAGACCGACATCACCCCAACCTTTATATTGAAATAGAAATTTATTACTAAATGCATAAAATTAAATATTAATAAATACCCAAATCGTCGGCTAATATAAAGACTATATTTGGTCTTTTATGTTCATTTAAAAGTGATCTTGATTTCCCGTAAAGTGTATTAAATATAATAAATATTATGATTGAATTCTTTATTGT